CTRCCCTATGACAATCATGCTGAGTGTAWTCAAACAAGTGTCTGATTAYCCATCACATAGTTACTAGTCATATAACCACAGATGTGGCTGCTGACCTCTATGCCCTTGGAGCATTGAATCCACTCTGCATACTTTTTCAAACACTACTCAAAGTGCTCATCTCTAGATTTAAAATAACTGTCAGCACCTTGGATAGTTGCTTTAAAGTTCATTCTAAAACATTAAATATATTTACCAGCCCCCTCAATCTTGAAGCAACMAGTGGCCAGGACAAATCTGCATCTATATGCTATCTTTTGCCCCAATTAGCCTACCCAGGAATCAGATAGCTATGTTCCCAGTGTCGACATTGATGCTGAAATACAACACTGCCTGAGGTCTGTGAGTGCAGCTATTTTCCCGAATGAAGCAGACTGTTTGAGGACTGAGACATCCTTCGGGATACCAAGGTGCTTGTTTATAAAGCTATTGTCCTCCCAACCCTGTTTTATGCCTGCAAGAYGTGGACTATCTACAGACGTCACATGCAACTCCTGGAACGATTCCATCAGCGCTACCTCCGGAAAATCCTGCAAATCTCTTGGGAAGACAAGTGGACAAAYGTCAGCRTGCTGGAAGAAGCAAACACCACCAGCACTGAAGTGATGGTCCTCCACCATCAACTCTGCTGGACCGGCCATGTTGTCGGGATACCCGAGCACCATCTCCCAAAGCAGTTGCTCTACTCTGAGCTCAAGAACGGAAAACGGAATGTTGATGGGCAGGAAAAGAAATTTAACAATGTGCTCAAAGCCAACCTTAAGAACTCTGGCATAGACACGGAGAACTGGGAAGCCCTGGCCCTTGAGCACTCCAGCTGGAGGTCAGCTGTGACCAGCAATGCTGTAGAATGGAGGGCAAAAGAGAGAAATGTGCCAAGAGGAAGGTGTGTCAAGCCAATCCCGACCGAGACCACCTTCCACCTGGAAACCAATGCCCTCACTGTGGGAGAAGATGCAGATCAAGAATAGGACCCCACAGTCACCTAAGGACCCACCAGTACACTGATCTTGGAAGACTATCCTACGCAGACAACGAGGGATCACCTATGTAAGTAAGTGTCCATTGGTGGATATTACATAAGGGTATAGTGAGTCCTGTCTGGATTTCAATCTAAACTTCAAAAGAGACATCCAAGTTTGGGCTTGGTTCAACAGTTTTGACAGTCCATGAATGCTTGGATCAAACCCCAGAGTGAATCCACCATACTGCTGCTATGAGATCTTTCAGTCATCATAGGCTGGGAGTATAGTCAGCTATCTTAACTATATATTTTAAGGAAAGTTAGTTCAACAATTGGTCTGCACCCACATTGCAGAATTAATATAGTTTGTCACCATTTTAACTGCCATGGTTCAATACTATGGAATCATGAGAACTGTAGTTTTACAAGTTGTAGTTTTAGCTTCTCTGCTAAAAAATGTTGGTTCCTCATCAAACTGGAAACCACAGGATGGATTGGCACTGAGCCATGACAGTTAAAGTGGTGTCAAACCCTATTAATTCTACCATATAGATGCACACTTGGATGCTTATACAAAGCAGATTGCTATGCCCGATCAATTAACCTTGATTAGTTAGCAGTCAGTATTAGTCTGCTTCCATCAAAAGTCCTCGAAACTATTCATCTAATGTTTTCAATGGTCAGCATAAATCAGAAATATCTTTAAGGTAGGGTAAAGGGTAAAGGTTTTCCCCTGACATGAAGTCCGGTCATGTCCAACTCTGGTGGTTGGTGCTCATCTCAATTTCTAAGCTGAAGAGCTGGTGTTTTCCGTAGACACCTCCAAGGTAATGTGGCTGGCATGACTACATGGAGTGCTGTTACCTTCCTACCGGAGTGGTACCTATTGATCTACTCACATTTGCATGTTTTCGAACTGCTAGGTTGGCAGAAGCTGGGGCTAACAGTGGGAACTTGCTGACCTTTCGATCAGCAAGTTCAGCAGCTCAGCAGTTTACCCCGCTGTGCTACCACAGTGTGAAGATACACAGCAGCAACAATACTGTATATTTCCAGGGTACTGATGTGTGCTTACACGTCTAAATACCCTAAAGGCATCAGATTCTGCTTGACATTGGAAGCTAAGTAGGATAAACCCTGGTTAGTACTTGGATGGGAGGTCATCAATGAATACCAGGAACTGTAGGCTGTTTCAGAGGAAAGAACTGGGGAAACCACTTCTGAGTATCCCTCACCTAAGAAAACCTTGTGACATTTGTGGGGTTGCCATAATATACGTTGACTGAGGACTTGAAGGCACATTCACATACAAATCATATTATTGCCTCAGTCCTTCTTTCTCTGTTGTTGTTATTGTGTGGCTTCAGGTAATTTCTGACTAATACGAAACATATTGCAGAGCTTTATTGGCAAGAGTTTTGCCATGGCTTTCCTCTAAGGCTAAGAGAGTGTGACTTTCCCCAATGGTGGAACAGCAGTATATAGCACTGCCAGATCAAGTCCATTATACACAGCTTTGAAAAGATAATGCTGGGACTGGATTTCCCATTAAGCAAAACAAGTTCATGCTTTGAGCATCAAGGAAAGAGGGGCAAATACAGACATTTTTCATTGCTGGATTACTATGAATCATGGCATGATTCATTGCTTGAGAGTTCCGGTTGCTTGAGTTCCAGTTAACTGAGAAATGACTGAATTTCAATTTTTATTTAAAGTTTTATTTCTCTGATATTTTTGCTGGTTGGTTAAGAGTACTGATTGCTTGAGTTCCAGTTCACAGAGAGTCTACTATATTTTAATGTTTATTTAAATTATTATTTCTTTTATTTTGTTGCCAGTTGCTTGAGAGTTCTGCTACTTGAGTTCCAGTTAACTAAGAGTCTACTATATTTTAATTTTCATTTAAAGTATTATTTGTCTGATATTGTTGCTGGTTGCTTGAGAGTTCCGGTTGCTTGAGTTCCAGTTAACTAAGAGTCGACTATATTTTAATTAATATTTAAAGTATTCTTTCTCTGATATTGCTGCTGGTTGCTTGAGAGTTCTGGTTGCTTGAGTTCTTGTTAACTAAGAGTCTACTGTATTTTAATTTTTATTTAAAGTATTCTTTGATTTTGTTGCCTGTTGCTTAAGGGTATTGATTGCTTGAGTTCCAGTTCATAGAATCGTAGAATCATAGAATCAAAGAGTTGGAAGAGACCTCATGGGCCATCCAGTCCAACCCCCTGCCAAGAAGCAGGAATATTGCATTCAAATCACCCCTGACAGATGGCCATCCAGCCTCTGTTTAAAAGCTTCCAAAGAAGGAGCCTCCACCACACTCCGGGGCAGAGAGTTCCACTGCTGAACGGCTCTCACAGTCAGGAAGTTCTTCCTCATGTTCAGATGGAATCTCCTCTCTTGTAGTTTGAAGACAATTGTTCCGCGTCCTAGTCTCCAGGGAAGCAGAAAACAAGCTTGCTCCCTCCTCCCTGTGGCTTCCTCTAACATATTTATACATGGCTATCATCTCCTCTCAGCCTTCTCTTCTTCAGGCTAAACATGCCCAGCTCCTTAAGCCGCTCCTCATAGGGCTTGTTCTCCAGACCCTTGATCATTTTAGTCGCTCTCCTCTGGACACATTCCACTTGTCAATATCTCTCTTGAATTGTGGTGCCCAGAATTGGACACAATATTCCAGGTGTGGTCTAACCAAAGCAGAATAGAGGGGTAGCATTACTTCCCTAGATCTAGACACTATGCTCCTATTGATGCAGGCCAAAATCCCATTGGCTTTTTTTGCCGCCACATCACATTGTTGGCTCATGTTTAACTTGTTGTCCACAAGGACTCCAAGATCTTTTTCACACATACTGCTCTCGAGCCAGGCCTCCCCCTTTCTGTATCTTTGCATTTCGTTTTTTCTCCCTAAGTGGAGTATCTTGCATTTGTCCCCATTGAATTTCATTTTGTTAGTTTTGGCCCATCTCTCTAATCTGTCAAGATCGTTTTGAATCCTGCTCCTGTCCTCTGGAGTATTGGCTATCCCTCCCAATTTGGTGTCGTCTGCAAACTTGATGATCCTGCCTTCTAACCCTTCATCTAAGTCATTAATAAAGATGTTGAACAGTTAACAGAGAGTCTACTGAATTTCATTTTTACTTAAAGTATTCATTCTTAATATTTTTGCCGGTTGAGAGTTTCAGTTGCTTGAGTTCTGGTTAACTGAGAGTCTGTTGTATTTTACTTTTAATTTTAATTTCTTTGATTTTGTTACCAGTTGCTTGGGAGTTCTGATTGCTTGAGTTCTTGTTAACTGGGAGTCTACTATATTTTAATTTTCATTTAAAGTATTCTTTGATTTTGTTGCCTGTTGCTTAAGGGTATTGATTGCTTGAGTTCCAGATAACAGAGAGTTTATTGAATTTCATTTTTATTTAAAATATTGGTTCTTAATATTATTATTTTTTTTGCCAGGTGCTTGGGAGTTTCAGTTGCCTGAGTTCCAGTTAACTAAGAGTCTACTGTATTTGCATTTTGATTTAAAGTATTGTTTTGTTGCTTAAGGGTATTGATTGCTTGAGCTCAAGTTAACAGATAGTCTATTGAATTTCATTTTTATTTAAAGTATTTATTCTTAATTTTTTGCTGGTTGCTTGAGAGTATCAGTTGCTTGAGTTCCACTTAACTGAGAGTCTGCTGTAATTTACTTTTTATTTACAGTCTTATTTCTTTGATGTTGTTGCAGGTTGCTTAAGAGTACTGATTTCTTGAGTTCCCTTAAGAGAGAGCCTACTATGTATATATAGAAACATGCCAGATCCCACTGCTTTAAAAAGATAAGGCTTAAAAGAGGTGGCTTAAAGGGTGCAGGCACAGAAAAAAAAAAAAGAGTAGGCTGTCCTTTGGCGAGGCAATGGCTTTATTTTGCCCTTCCCAACCTGTTGGGGGAGTCTGGGAGCTGTGATGTTTCAGAAAGGAAAACTTTTGCAAGCTCTGCTGCAGCCAGAGCCTCTTCTGGAAGTGCAAACTACATTTCCCAGGTCCCTTTGCAGGCAGGCAGAGCTTGCATGTCTGCTGGACTCATTCGTCCTTCCCTGCTCATTATGGCCGATTGGTCTAAATCCCTTTTAGGCATCAAGGGGCTGCTGCTGGACATCAGTGGGGTGCTTTATGACAGTGGGGGCGAAGGAGGCGGCGTCCCCATCCCTGGATCTATAGAAGCTGTAAAGAAGTAAGTGTGTGCATTGTGTGTGTGCGTCAATGGGGGGAGATCCCCACTGAACAGCTGCCTTATAAATGACTTGCCTCCCCTCCAGCCCTTAACAGCCCTCTGGGGAAACACACAAGTTGTTGGTTCAAAGAACTCACTTCCAATGCATCTACACTGTAGAATT